GGGAGCTGCGCCCTGCTTGAGGGCGCCGCCCATGCCCTTGAGTAGCACCACCGTCGCGTTCTCGATCATCAGTTTGGAATGGGTGCGCGGCTCGTTTGGGCCGCCCGTGACCTGCACACCGTCCACGATGGCAAGATGCAGTCTGGCCATGTCATCGTTGTAGCACCTCCTGCATCTGAAGTGTCGGATCGACACGCCGAGCTCCTGTTGTTGTCCACGTAGTATGAACTTGTTGTAGAATAAGCGCACCACCTCAAGTCCCCCCCCCCCCCCCCCGATCTCCTGGCTGGACTCCGCTTCCACTAAGCACTTGCACCCTGCGCGCGCCATGCGCAAGCGTGGCGGCCCCAGCTTGTCCTTCACGCTCGGGGGCCCAGCCGCCTCCGAGTAGAGCTCCCCAGCGGCCCTGGAAGCCACGATAGTTGGGGCGATCGTTGGGGCCAGCACGCATGCCCAGATCACCGCGGCCATGTCGCGAAGCAGCTGAGAGCGCACGCAGAAACCTTCGAGGAGGACTCCGCGTCGTCTGCTGCTCTGGCCATTCTTTTTGTCAGTTTGACTCAGCTGCCCTCGCCACTCGATGGTTCTGCTCCTCTCTTTCCCAGCTCGATGAGAGCCGATAGGCCCGTCGCGTCGATGGGCGCCGCGGCGGCCGCTCCCTCCGCGGGCGCGGTCGGCCCTCCGCTGGCGCACTTCGGGCGGCGGGAGGGAGCAACGCGAGCGATTGTGCACCTGCGGGTCGAGTAGAATTTGAGCCCAGTGACTGCGTGCAGAACAGACCAGTTCCCTTGGCATCACCACGTCTTGCGCCAAGAAGGAGCCCTTCCCCCGACTGCAGGCGTTGCGTTTGAACGACCTCATGCCGTGACGTTCGGTATTTCTTGCGTACTCAATACTCGCATGCATCTACAGCATTGGTTGGTAACAGCCCACATCGCTGCTTCGTTTCGGGCTCTGCGCGCCCGTCCAGCGCGGAGAAGGAGAGCCTTCGCGGCGCCGAATCGAACGTTGCACTTGGCGCCCGTGCTGGGCACCATGTGGCAGACATGCTGGCCCTCCTGGGCCGCCCCCCCCCCCCCCCCCTCCGCCTCGGGTGCCTCTGGTGCCGCGGGATGGCGCTCAGGGGGCGCGAAGGTTGCCGAGTGGGTCTCGGCCCCCAGGACAGAGGGGTCGGCGCGGGCCCAGCCCCTGCAATCTCGAAGGTAGACCTGCTTCAGGAGGGGTACTCCGAGGGGGCACCTCGGAGAAGTCCTCGCAGTGGATGTAGGCGCGTCGGAGGTCCTCTAGGAGCTGATGGGCCCAAAGGTTGGCCTGCGGGCCCAGGCCCCAATCCTCCGCGGTCGTGTCGAAGTTCTCCATGGCCCCGAGCACGCAAGACCTCACCTGTTTGTGGGCCCCAGGGACACGGGCCCAGCTTTGGCACGACCCAAGACGACGAACCCGAAGCCCCTCAAAGGTCGGTAGAATCTGCCAATACTCCCAGACTGTCAGACGGCCACCTACGCATCTCCCCCTCGCTGCCCCGTGACCCCTGGAGACCGGGGCCTCGGCGCATGGCCAGCATGAGCACGCGATCCGCCTGCTCGCAGCAAGAGGAATCGAGCACGCGTGCCCCCACCCCCGAGAGGAGAGCCGACTGGACGAAAGCGACGATCGCCATCCGCTCGAAGGCCCTCGCCGCAGGCTTGACGAGGAAGCACGAGATGAGCCCTAAACCGTTGCTTTCCCAGCTCGTATCCTCTTGACCCTTTTCCACGGCCAGGGGCCCTGTCGAAGTCAGCCAACCGCCCAAGATCCGAACGCGCCGCCCACGGACCCCCGATGATTTTAGGACCCCGCTGTGCCATATACGTCTCTGCGCCGCGCAGCCTCGACCGAAAATCCTAACCAGGGCGGCCCGCTTGTCGAGGTTCAGAGGGATGCCGATCTCCAAAAGCGCCTCACGGAGACGCGCGCCACTCGACTCCGCCAGCGCCGCCAGGGGCGCCACCTCGCCGCCGCTCGCGCAGGGGTCGGGCCCCCGGCCAGGGACCGCAATCTTCGTAATGTCGTCGCGAAGATCGCCAGGCCCACATCGCTCGAGTTCCCGTCGATCTCGACTGCCCTGGCACATTATCGCGAAGAGGTTCTCGAACGATGGTCGCGATATCGAGCGAGACCTATCTTGTAGTAATACCGGAAGGCGCGAGCAGGATTGGGATGCCCCATCATCTCCCCCGTCGTCGGTCGCAATGTAATCGCTCCCGATGGCGGCTCGATCTGAAGGCCCCCCTGAACCGTGCGTCGGCGCTGAAAGATTATATCTTTTTCCTAATAGAGAAGTGCGACAGCGCCTGGGATCTCATTTCTGTCCGTGCTCGCGAAAGAATTGGTCGCGCCCTCGTTATTGTTGGCGCGAGACTGCCCCTCTTGCACGAGACGCCGGGATGCACAGACCTGCGCCGCGATCGCATCCTCGCGCCGCCGACGACGGGCGAAGTCGCGGCAGTGGCAGGGTAGGCCCCCCCGAACTTGCCGACCTCGCTGCCATAGCCATGCGTCCCGAGCTTTGCCCATCGGGCAGAACAATTGCACCCGACTTCGACCTGCAGCTCCCAACTTCCCGCTCCTCTCAACCAGCCCAATACAAGAAGACATATCGAATAGTAGTGGGTTTGTCTGGATCTGCGAAAGCAGGCGAACACGTCGATCATCCGCTCGAGGAAGGCGGTGGCTGTCGAGGACCTGGGGCTGGCGCCGACCCCTCCTCTGGACAAATTCCCAGACCTCCTCTTCCAAGAGCAATAGCCAGAGCTCCGATGTCATCGACCAACGCGGGCAGGCACTGCGCTTCGAGGCGGAACGAAGAAACCTGAACATGCCCTGCAAGTCCTGTTGGGCCTGTTCGAGATTCACCACCTGCATCGCGCCATACCTGGCCTGGTCCGAGCTGAAAGTCTCCTCTTCCGCGTCGTTCAGGCGTGGGCGGCCGGGAAGTTCTGCAAGCTCTCGAAGTAGATCACACGGTACCCCACTCAGGCCTCCGTCTGACGCCGCCTTCTGAAGAAAGGAACTGATCTGCTCTGCGTCGCACTGCTCCGTTGTTTGCCAAAAAATATGTTCGTTGCCGAGGTCCTCGCCCCCGCCGTCATAATCTGCAACTGGGTCTTTGCACAGGGCATGATCGTGAGCTGACCAGTCATCCTTAATTTGTGAAACCAGCTCCACTGTCTGTTCTTTGTTGATCTGCTTCGTCAGAACTCTGATGCGAAAACTTAGCCTGGCCCAATTCCGCGTCTGGCCACCAGTCAGTACACCTGCCCGAACCTCCAGCGTGAGAGAACGTTTTTCTCTAGGTCCGACTTCTCTTGGTCCAATTCAATACGTTGGCAAACAATGTCCCGCGCTTTGTGGCTGAGGAGGGAGGCCAATGAGTTCCGTAGTTCGTCTGTCACCGGTCTCGTACATAAACGTACCCACTCCTGTTCCTCAGTTGTAAGTAGCTCCTCGTGCACAGCTTCGATGAGCGAGGTACACCCCTCGCCTCTGCGTGCCGAGGACATGATAAGATCGAAATCCCAGCTTGGCGTACCTCCCATCTGTGTTTGAAAGCAAATATGCAAACACAAATACAAGTCTATGATCTCGGTCATCGAGAGTCTGAATAGGTATTAGGCGGCGACCAGCCGCTTTCAGAATTCGGCACTTCTTGACATGCGATAGGCCTTGAGGTACGTAGGTGAAACCAATTCTGGACGTCTTCCCCATATTACCGTAGTATGTCGGGCCCACGTCGTAGAAGGTGTTGCACGCCGCCAGCTCGCAGTCTCTCAGAAATTGGTGGCATTGTCGCCCTGCGAGACCTTCCTTCGACGGGGCGATGCAGCCCACCGCGAGATCCTCCTCATCCTAACCCAGTACTGAAGTTCAGCCTCGTCCAGCGTGACTTCGGGAGATATCCAAAGGCCATCGTTCAGGTCGCACCCGCTGACTGGCGTGCAGCGTACTCCCACAGAACCTATCGTAGATCGGGCCCATGCGATCAGCGCCTGCACCGTTCGTCTGTGGGATGGGAAGTAGAGGGTCATAAACATAATATCCAGTGAAGCCGTTTTTACTATGATGGCCCCCGCCCGCCCTGCTAGGTTGGCTGGTGGAGCGTAAATCCGTCGCAAGCTTCTCTGAGGAAAAATTCGATTGTGCAACATCACCGAGACTCCGCATGACGTATTGCTGGCTCTGGTCCATCCGAAAAAGGTTTCCCAATGTCGACCATGTCGAAGTATTTGCTGTTCATCCTCGCCTTTTGTTCTGCATGTGCCTGGAAGATGGATGGCCCCGATGTTGCGGAACTCGTTGCTCAGCTCGAAACCTCTCATTGGTCCCACCATATGCATAGGATTGTATGTGCAAGCTCGAATGTGTGTGTGTGTGTGTGCGTGTGTCCGCTCAATGGGAGGACGAGGAGGGGGATGGGCCTGATGGAGAAGGAGGACAGAGAGGCGGAAGCCGAGGTGGACGAGGCAGGGAGAGGGCGGGCGGCAGGGGGACGCCAAGGCCGTAATCAGGGGAGGGGGGGGGGCAGGAGCGGAAGGGCAGGAGACGGCAAGGGCAGGAGAGCATTTTGCACTTGCGGGGATACAATCAAACCGCAGAATAAGGACACACGATAAGGATGCAAGGGCCTTGGAAGGTCATGTCGACACTTAGCGAGCGGGGAGCGGTCAGCGAAAGCGGCCAAGGATGGGCCGAAGGGAAAGGACGCTTCAAGCCTAAGGGTAACCTAGGAAAGTCGTTCATCCTTACTATGCGGGTTGACTGCAACAAGGGGATTTAGGGAGGGCGAGGGGGAGCATGACGTAACGCCCCCCCCGCCGTGTGGGTCCAGTACCACAGACTGTGGTGCCAGAGGTACTGCTGCAAGGTCGGGGACGCACTGGGGGGGGGGCGTTACGTTACGGGGGAGAGCCGGGCATAACGCGCGGTACGGCCCAGAGTGTGAAAAAAACTCCACAAGAGGCCTCCATGTCGCTCGTTCGGATCCCGCCCGTCAGCTGGTAGGCGATCACGGCCTGCATGGCACCCGAAAGCCCAGCGACTTGGGCCGGATTCTGGCGGCCGCTTTTTCTCGTACGACATGCGTTACGTGACGACTCTTCGCACAGCAAGAATACGCAGGTATGAGGACGGAACATAAGGAGTCAAGGCACGCAGAGCACACCAAGATGGAGGAGAAAACCTGAAAATGATTGGCCAAGGACCCAACCATATGCAGTTGTGGGTACCGTCATTGTGATTATCGCCTTCGGTGAATCTTTTCATGGTGCCACGAAGTGTGTGAATGGTGTGCCGAGACGGGGCGGGGCCGAAAGGCGGGTGAGGGGTGTGCCGAAATGGGGCGGCGGTGCCATGCGAACAATCCCACTGGTGCCTCAGGTGGACCTCACAATGGGGCCACGAAGCGTATGAGGGGTGTGCCGAACTCGGGCGGCGGGGACGCATGCGAACGGCAGCGTTTGGGCCTTAAAAGGAGGTCCCCATGGGAACACGAAACGTGAGGGAGTGCCGAAATGGGGCGGCGATGCCATGCGAACCCTCCCGCTGGGGCCTCAGGTGGAGCTCACAATAGGGCCTCGAAGCGTATGAGGGGTGTGCCGAAATCGGGCGGCGGTGCTATGCGAACCCTCCCACTGGGACCTCAGGTGGAGCTCCCTATGGGGCCACGAAACGTGTGAGGGGCGTGCCGAAATGGGGCGGCGATGCCATGCTAACTTTTCCACTTGGGCCTCTGGCGGAGCTTTCTATGGGGCCACGAAACGCGTGAGGGATGTGCCGAAGAGGAAAGAAGGAAGGAAGGAACGCGGGGCGCTGTCTCTTCAAAACGAGGCCCCAACACAACAAAATACTTCGGAACAAACAAACACACTGAAACGGGACGTCAAAAAGCCGCTGACCTTGGACGGGCTGCAGCGAGAAGGTACCCGTGGACAGAAAGCGTGACAGAGGGGCTGAGAACCCAAGGGTGCAAAGGGAGCCGCGAGTCGAAACCCGTGCTTAACGCCGGTTGTGCCTGTACGTGCCGTGATACTCGTCCTGGATTCCGAAAATTCCACCAGCCCTCCGGGCGTAGGTGTTCTGGCGCGTTTCCTCTTCCACCGCTCCCTTTTCCCGTTCGGGAAACGTTTACCCCTCCCCTTGCACCCCCTCCCCTGGACCTGGAGGGGTGGGGTCGCGGGTGATTGGAGCGCCTAAGATGGCCCAAGATAGCTCTAGGAGGGCCTCAAGGAGCCCAAAATAACTTCCAAGATGGCCCAAGATGGCCCAAGATAGCCCAAGATGGCCAATATGGCTCCCAAGATGCTCCAAGAGCCCCAAGACCGCTCCAAGAAGGCTCCGAGTGGCCTCGGAGCCTCCCCAGGAGGCCGCCAAGAGGCCGAAATCCTTTACAAACCTTAGGAAAATCATTGAAGGTTGCCGTCTCGCCTTTTCGTTTCCGATGGCCTTCCAAGGCCTCAATACAGCTCCAAGAGGGCCCATGAAGGCCCCAAGAAAGGCCCAAGAGTGCCTCAAGACGTCCCCAAGAGCGCCCAAAAGCGCTCCAACCGCGCCCAAAGAGGGGCTCAAGAGGCGATGTGAGGGGAGAACGAAATTAGAGCTCTCATATGTTTTGATCGATCTCCTCCGAAATGGCCCCAAGAGCGCTCCCAAGGCTCCCAAGAGTGCCTCAAGAGGGCCCCACGAGGCGCCCAGGAGGCCCAAAGAAGGCTCCCAAGAGGCATCCAAGAGGTTCCCAAGAGACCCCCAAGAGGCCCCAAGAGGCTCCCTAAGGCACCCAAGACGCTCCAAGAGGTCCCTGGGACCGCCAAGAAGCCCCCAAGACGCTCCAAGAGGCCTCCAAAAAGCGTCCAAGAGACATCCAAGGAAACTTGACGAGGCATTCAAGAGGCCTCTGGCCCTTCTGCCCGCTTTTCGTCATAGTCGTCGTCGTCCTCGTCGTCGTCGTCGTCCTCGTCGTCGTCGTCGTCGTCGTCGTCGTCGTAATCGTCGTCGTCGTCGTCGTCGTCGTCGTCGTCGTCGTCGTCGTCGTCGTCGTCGTCGTCTTCGTCGTCGTCGTCGTCGTTTGCGTCGTCCTCCCTCCTTTTTCCGCCGCGTTACCTGTTCCACCCCTCCCTTTTCCCCTCTGGGGAGGGGTTCACCCCTCCCCCATTACCACGGGGGATTTCGCGAAGCGCTGAAACGTCCAAGATGGACCAAGATGCCCCGAAGAGAGCCTCAGAAAGCCCAAGATGACCACCAAGATTGCCCAGAATAGCCCAACATGCCACAGGATGGTTCCCAAAATGCTCCAAGAGACCCGAAAACGGCTCCAAGACGAATCCAAGTGGCCACGGAGCCTTCCTCGGAGGCCCCCAAGATGCCAACATCCTTCAAAAGCCCAATGAGAATCCATTAAAGTTGTCTTCTCGCCTAGTTGCTTTCGATGGCCTTTCAAGGCCTCAATACAACTCCAAAGGCACATGTGGGCCCCGCGGGAAGCCCAAGGGAGCCCAAAGACGGCCATAAGAGCGCCCTAGAGTGTCCCAAGAACGTTGCAAGAGGGGCCCTTCCTCTGTGTAGTGCCCCCTTCCCCTGATCGAAGCCATTCTTCTGGGCATCGTCTCTGGATGGGCTGGCGGGGTTGCCCGAAGCGTCAAGCATATCTTACCAAATCCGGCAACGTCCACTGGTCTGCGCAATCGCTACTGGCATGTCCGATAATCCCACGTCGATGTAGTTACACCATTGCGTACTACACCGCAGTAGATTCGTCACCGTCATCGCAAGCGAATAGGAGAGATCGCAGAAGGACGGAGAGCCCCCCACCGGGAAATCGGTGTCGGTGTCGTGTTCGCGTCGCGCGCGCGGGCGAAGAAAGGCTGCGTGAACGCGCGAGAAAACTGATGCCGCTGTGGCTGAAGGAAATGGAACCGGTTGCCCGCGACAAACACACACCCCGGCGAACGGCGGCCGGGGGTGTCCCGTCGGCGGCGCGGACATGTCCCGTCGGTGGCGCGGGGCGCCCCGTCGGTGGCGTGGGGCGCCCCGTCGGTGGCGCGGCGATGGGATCGATGGTAGGATCGATCGTGAGATGGATTATGAGGTCTTCTGCGAGGTCGAATGTGAGATCGGCAATGAGGTCGACAATGAAAAATGATGCGACATCGATGATGCGAATTGCTGTGAAATCGATTGTGAAATTGTTCGTGTGATCTATGGTGGGATCATCAACGATGTCGACGTTAAGATTGATCGATCGTGCGATCGATTGTCAAATCGATTGTAAAACCGATAACGGGATCCATGGCGATATCGAACATGAGATCGGTAGTGAGACCGAGCGAACATTGTTGTGATATCGATAGTGACTCCGAATGTAAGCTCGAAAATGAGATCGATTGTCATACCGATGGTGAAGTCGATTGAAGTCCATGGTGATATTTGATACGAGGTCGGTAGTGATTTCGATAGTGATATCGGTTGCGAGATCGATAGTGCGAACTGTTGTGGGATCGATACGGTAGACGGAAGCAATACCAGTGGACACACACACACCTCCCAAAAAAACTCAAAGTTGGCACGCGCGGGGGAAACTGAGGTCGAAGTGCAACTCATCCTGTCCGAAACCGACATTGACCACTGGGGGGGCATTGACAGATGAACGTGGCATGAAAGTTCGCTCATCATTTGTTCTGAGGCCCGCGGGCATCCCTCGCGGACCCCTCAAGGTGGTCCGCGCGCACGTGAAGTGCATGCGCTGGCGCTGCAAGTCGGGGGCACGCGCGGCCAGCTCCGCCCCGCTCTCAGCCGCCAGTGCCGCCCGGGCCACGGCGGCGGCCTCGGCCGTCGGCGCGGCGGCCGCGGCGCCCGCAGACGGCGCGGGAGGCGGCTGCTTGGCCCAGAGTCGGTGGCGCCGGACAGCTGCGGCGAAGGACGCGCCGCGGGCGCTCCGCGGGCCAGTCGGGGCCAGGCTTCGTCGCTTGGGCGGCGGGGCTGGCGGGGCCGCGGCGGCTGCGGACTCTTGTGTGCAACCAAACTGGCCCCTCTGGGGTGGCCCTTGTCGTGCCCCACCCTATTTTCACGTATCGCTTGCATTGCTCGTCCCAGTGGACCCTATATTGTAAGGTCTCGCACGCACCGCTCGCTCGCAGACAGCGATGGGAGTCGCACTATTCAACATCGTTCTCTAACGAGCAAAATAAGCGAGACATGAAACATAGCGTAGGGTCCGGTGGGGCGAGCGATACGAACGGTACGTGGAAAGTAAGGCACCCGGTGGACTGCGGCGCACCTGGCGCGCGTGGCGCACTCGGCGCACTTGACTGCGTGATGGTCATGGCGAAAACCATGCGCATCCGCTAGATAATCTGCACCTCCCGAAACCCAATGGGCTTGCGGCAGACCATCATCCTGGCTGGCAGTGCGTTTTGTGGCGGCGCGCGCAAGTAGCGCGGGCGGCCTGGTGCCTTAAGCAAAATGGCATGCAGCGGCGCACGGCCCAACACAAGCGGGCACCAAGGGCCATGCCGAGTACGATGTCCCCTTGCGACTGCCTGGTTGGGCCCCTCCCAGGTGCTTCGACGCATGCTGGTCTCGCAGAAATCCTTGCCCGCAGATTCGAGAAGTCGACTGGCGCATGGCGGCATAACCCAAGACATGAGATGTAGTGAGATCTGTTGTTGGATCGATAGTGATATCTGTTGTGAGATCGATGGTGGGATCGCTCGTGAGATCTACAGAGGGGTCGACAGTGAGATCGACACTGAGATCGATTGTGAGATCGATTGCCAAATCGATTGTGAGACCGATAGTGGGATAGATGGTGGGATCGATTGTGAGATCGATTGCGAGGCCGATAGCGAGAACTGTTGTGAGATCGATAGTGGGTCCGACTGTGGGATCGGTGAAATCGATTGTGGGATCGATATTGAGATCGGTTGTGAGATCGATCGTGAGACTTGTGAGATCGATAGCGAGATCGATCGCCAAATCGATAGTGAGATTGCTTGTAAGATCGAAAGTGGAATATGTTGTGAGATCGATAGTGGGATCGATGGTGAGATCCATAGTGGGATCTGCTGTCAGATCAAGAGTTTGATCGATGTTATATCGATTGAATGAGACGTTGGTCCCCCCTCCCCCCCCGAACCTCCATAACACCCGGAGGGTGGTCATCTAGGCATTGGTATCCTTGTCGTACTGCTTGCTCGGATTCGACGTCGTCTTAGATGCATTATCCGATTCGTGCCAGCGGCACGTTGGGGCATGCTCGAATGCTCATGTTGTCAGATAGGGCTTCTGTACTCTTTCCAGGGCCAAACCCCCGCCCCCTCGACGCGCGAAGGTTCCGAATCTCGCACCCCCTCGTTCTGCTCTCTGACGCTCGTCTCGGCGTCCAGGCGATTCCAAGACAGCCGAAGACTACCACCCCCAAAAAAACGTGCAAGAGACAACCCATGTCAATACAATGACGGTCCAACGAGCCCGACAAGGCTCCTGGATCTCAACAGATGCCCCAAGATGCCCCGAAGGTCCCGAAGAAGCCTCTAAGAGGCGCTCAAAGAGGCCTCCAGCGAGGCGAGACGCAAAAAACATTGTAGAACATAATTCGCTAACATACGTGTGGCGTTAGAGCCCTAGGAGCACTCAAGACGTCGCAAGACGGCCCAAAGACGGCCACGCTGCCACAACGGTTCCAAGTGCCGCTGGTACTACTCCTGGTATATGTTGCCCTCGTTCTGCGGTTATTACTGCGTGTGCTCAGTACTGCCGCTGTGTATACTAAAAAGTGCGACCAACGCCGAGGAGGAACGCATCGAGGCACATGATTCTAGCGAACTGCGCAAATGGGAACGCGGCAACATGTTAAAATCAAACCAGCGAAACGTTGAAAAAACATTCCGTGTGCCTGTCATGCGCGCGTCGAAACTAAATTGTGAGCGCACTCCGGCGAGCTCCTTTCGTAAACGGTGCCTGGGGAAGCGCAGGAGAGGGTCAGTGTGCCAACATTGGCCAGCATGGGCTAAATTGTGACAACTTCCTGCACGTGCGTCAGGGGGGCGCACAGGTCGAGGAGGCGCCTGACGCAGACAACAAGACCCCTCTAGTATGCATACGCACTTGTTCGTTCGGCGTGAAGTGCGGAGGGGCAAGCCCCTCGCCCCAGGCAGGGTCAGGCGCAGTGGAAAGCGACATTCCGAAATCAGTCCTGCTGGATCTTGTGGTAGTCCAAGTTTTGGATGTGGAACTTCGCCGAGACGCAGCCTTCCATGCCATGCCTATCGCGCCGCAGGCTCACGTTTGCCCTCCTCCCTCCTGCTCGGATTTACGTCCTCCTCCTCCTCCTCCTCCTCCTCCTCCTCATCATCATCATCATCATCATCAGCAGCAGCAGCATACTCATCAGCATGATCATCACCACCACCACCACAACCATCATCATCATCATCATCATCATCAGCATCATCAGCGTCAGCATCATCAGCATCATCATCATCATCATCATCATCATCAGCATCAGCATCATCAGCATCATCAGCATCAGCATCAGCATCATCATCATCATCAGCATCAGCATCAGCATCATCATCATCATCATCATCATCATCATCATCATCATCATCATCATCATCATCATCATCATCATCATCATCATCATTATCGTCGTCGTCTTCATCATCATCACCACCACCACCGTCACCCCCACCATCATCATCATCATCAGCATCATCATCATCAACATCGTCAGCATCAACAGCATCATCATCATTATCAGAATCAGCATCATCATCATCAGCATCATCACCATTATTACCATCATCGTCGGCATCATCGCCATCGGCGTCGCTGTCGCCATCGTCACCATCATGCCGAATCGCGCTCTGGGCCAACACATTATAAAACCGGTCACTACAAGGCATGGATCGCGCGGCGGGAGCATCTCAACTAAAACATCCTGATAAGCATACCAGAACGCACATGTGAGCATGTGTAGGCGCACGGTCGATGAAATGAGTTCAGCTTCTCGTATGTAATCCAGGGGTTACTCGAAGATTTGGCTCGCATAATTTCCATGCAAATGTCGCATGAACACACAAGACCTGGGTCCGCGGCATCCCTTGCTCACGTCGAGCAGAGAACACGCAAGATGCTTTACCCTTCACTCGCACACTAATACCCCAGCCTAGGGAGAGCGATGATTCAGGATAGTTCTGGGTGTGCTGCATGTGTTATAATGGCCAAACGTGCACAAACTGTGGTGGGACGTGCTGAAATTGTGTAGCGTAAATACGGGTATACGTAATGTGCTGGAGGTACGGAATGTCAGGCATGCGCCGGTCTGCGAACAGTGCAAAAGATGCAGGGCGCGTAGTCTGTAGAATGCGCGCAAGTGGTGCAAAGATATCAAAGAGCGCCATTAAGCCGCGACAACAGTCGCTGGCAACACAGAGGAGCGCAACTAGTGAGCTGATGTTTCTATGTTTGAGCGCACTCCTGGAGTAAGCATAGCACACATTGAGTAATATGGCATGTACCGACTGTATCCAACATTGGAGCGTGGTGTCTCAGCTGCGGCCAGCATCACATGGCTGTGGTGAGTCCCATGGCTAAGGATGGCAGCGAGACCAAAGCTCGGGCAAATTGTAAATACTCCACCGTGTTCTGAGGCACGAGTTGGAGTGCCATCAGGTCCCTTCGAGTTCCCTGTGTACAGCACTGTAAGCATGATTCAAGGGGCCCCCAGCCCAGAGTTCCGGGCGCTCCTGGGGGTTCCTCGCGTGACTTTTCCAGGATGTCAAGAGCGCGTTGTTCGGGACATGCATGTCCACCATGGCCTAACATGGCCCCGAAGACCGTCCTAGAGCCCTCTTGGGCTCGTCCTGAGCTGTCTTGGAGGCCCTGGAGGGTGGCCCAAGAGGCCAAAATCATCCAAACCAGCTGGTTATTGAATGGTTTTAGCATTTCCGCCCCATTCGCCTTCAGAGCGTCCAAGACAGTGCAAGAGGCGCCCAAGATTGGCCAAAAACGGCCTAAGGGCCCCCAAGGGTCCCAAGACAGCCCTTGGATGGGCCCAAGAGGGGGAACACGAACTTACAGTTTAAGCACTCTGGCCTGTGATGGCCCCTAGATACCCCCCAGAGGCCCCAAGACGGCCTAAGGTGGCCTCAAGAGGCCTCCAAGACGGCCCAAGAGGCATCCAAGAGGACGTTCAAGAAGGCCCGAGTTGGTGCCCCAACAGGCCTCCAAGAGGCCACCTCCTCATCCTCCTCCCTTTTCCTCCCCCCTCCTCTTTTTATGCCTCCCACACGTGTTCCCTGAAGGCATTTCCGCAACGGCTGGGGGAACACACCGTCCGACAGCTTGGCCGAGTTCTGGTCGCAACGTTCGGCCACATAGGCACGTCCAAAGGCAGGGGGCAGCTGTAATTTCGAGAGCGGCCAAGAGGGGGGTGTGCAAGAGGGGGGGGTGCAAATCATGACCGGCGGCATGTGCGCGGCCCAGCGGGGGGGCCAGGGACGTAATGAAATAAGAAGAGGCGCCATGAAATCTGGGGAAATATCATGGCCCCCGCCATGATATCCACCCCCTCCTAGTCATCACCCCCCTCTTTTCCGCCCCCGATAATTCGCCGTGGGCGTCTTTGATCCCGCGCCCCCGATTGGCTTGCCACCGGGGTGCACGGCGTGCCAAACGTTTTGTTTGTCTGTCTGCGGTCGTTAAAAAAGAATCCCAGGGGCCTTCGGCCCAACGCGCCTGCCAGCAGGAAGGGCGCATAAGAAATGTCTCCGGTCCTTTTCTCCCCCCCCGTGCGAACACAGAAACTTCTCAGGTCGTCGGTCTTCCCGCTCAGAAAGGCTACGATGGCTCCAGGAGAGCCCAAGATGGCCCAAAGAGGTCTCCAAGACGGGCCGAGATGCTCCCAAAATAGCCTTCAGATCGCCCAAAGCCAACCCAAGTCGCCTCCAAGAGGACCTCCAGGAAGGCCCAAAGAGGCCAAATCATTGATTGACCTTAGGTGTTTGCAGGATCTGGGTGTTTACTCATTCTCGGCTTTCCGACGGCCCAAGACAGCCCCAGAGGCCACCAAGACAGCCCAAAAGCGCCCGAGAGGCCTCCGAGATGGCCACCCTGACGGCCAACGAGGCCCCCAAGACGGTTCCCCAAGACGGCCAAGGAGACCTACAAGACACCCAAGATGGCTTCCAAGACGGCCCGAAGCGCCCTAAGAGGGCCCCAAAGCAACCCAGAGAAGCCCGCAAGACGTAGTGACGACTTCCGACTGCGTCAGACAGGCCAGGAACGCCCTCAGGCAGCGAAAGAGCCTTCGCAAGGAGCCTCAAGAGGCCCCCAAGAGGCCCAAGGGAGCTCCCCACAGGCCTCCAAGAGGTACCCTGGGAGCTCCACGAGGCCGAAAGAGTGCCCTAAGAGGCTCCCATGAGGCCTCTCCCTTATTATCTTCCTCTCGTGATCCTCCCTCTCATCCTCCTCTTCTGTCTCCCCCTAGAGTTCCCCGAAGGGTTTCCACAACGGCTTGGGAAACACACAGTCCGACAGCTTGGCCGAGCTCGGGCCGCAACGTTCGGCCACATAGCCACTTCCAAGAGGCAGGAAACAGCGGTGTTTCCTCCTCCTCCTCCTCCTCCTCCTCTTCCTCCTCCTCATCATCATCATCATCACCACCACCACCACCATTACCCATCATCGTCATCATCATCAGCAGCAGCATCAACAGCATCATCTTCATCATCATCATCATCATCATCAGCAGCATCATCATCAGCATGAGCATCATCATCATCATCATCATCATCATCATCATCATCCTCATCATCCTCATCATCATCATCATCAGCATCATCATCATCATCATCATTATCGTCGTCGTCTTCATCATCGTCATCCTCATCATCATCCTCATCCTCATCATCATCAGCAGCAGCATCATCAGCATCAGCATCAGCATCATCATCATCAGCATCATCATCATCGTCATCATCATCAGCAGCATCATCTTCATCAGAAGTAGCATCATCACCACCATCACCATCATCGTCATCATCATCACCATCACCACCACCATCATCATCATCATCACCATCACCATCATCATCAGAAGCAACATCATCGGCATCATCGTCATCAGCATCATCATCAGCATCATCAGCCTCATCAACATCATCATCATCATCATCATCATCATCAACAACATCATCGTCATCATCCTTATCCTCCTGATCCTCCTCAGCCTCCTCCTCCTCCTCAGCCTCCTCCTCCCGTCCTCCTCTTCCTCCTCATCTTCCTCATCCTCCTCATCCTCCTCCATGTTTTCCTCCTCCTCCTCCTCCTTGACCGTGCGGACGCACCATCACTGCCAACACACGTCTGCCCGCCCCTTGCAAAAGTTGCATTGTTCGCATTGGCCCCCGAGACGCGCACGGTGGGGGGTTAGACGTTGATGCTCGCGACTGGTACGCCCACCAATCATCGAGGACGGGGGGTGTAAAACAGTACGGAGGGTTCAGGGGAAGGGGGACGGAGGTAGGGGGGGGAAGGTGGAGGGAGGGGAGGGGAGGGGCGGGAGGGGGAGAGATGGGGAGAAGGGGAAGAGGACAAAGGGGAGGAGAGAGCGGAGGAGAGGGGGAGGCAAGGGGAAGCAGGGAAGTGAGAGGAAGGAAGGCGGGGGGGGTCGGGAGAACGAGAATCGGTGGCCCAGCCCCGACAAACCATCGGGCCGCGGAGCCTCACCCTGATCCGCACCACCGCGTTGATGTCGGCCTGCCTCATGCGGTCCACCGTCTGCCTCCAGTCCTCAGCGCCGCCGTCCCCAAGCTTCGCGGGTGCGCCCCGTGGGCACCGCGCGGGCCTCACTAGCAGACGCGAGCGATCTAGCCACTGCAGCCTTGCTCGAGGATCGAGGATCAAGATCGAAGACAAGACATTCGAGGACCGAGGACCCAGGCTGCTAGACCTTTTCCGCCATTGTCGGGCCTCTTGAGGCCTCCGAAAGCCTCTGGAAACTTCTGGGGACCTCCAAGGACCTCGGTCCTCTACGCCCCGTCGCACGATGATCCTGACGCCAGCGTGCTAGCGCCGACGTGTGCCCTTACTTGTCCACAGGCCCCTCGGTGTGTTAAACGCGGTGCACTGAGGGCCGTCAGGGACTCAAACATTGTCGGTGGAGGCTAACGATGCAAACAGACATTGGGCTACCATACGGTCTGTGGGTCATCGAGCCGTTCGTGTGAACCCCTCAGCATCTCCGCGCGTCAGGCCGCCGCATGGTTTTGGGGGACGCTGAAACGGCCGAAGACGGCCCTACGACAGGCCTCAGAAATTCTAGAACAAGCCACAACGGCCCATCCGTACCCAAAAACACATTACGGGCCACACGCGCGCGCGCCGCTTGCGCGTGTCGAAATCATCACAAAACAGTTGGCTCTCAAGACAGCCAGACCTCTCGGTCTTCTGCGCGCACGTAATTGCCATCACCCTCATCAGCGCTATCGCATCACCGCCGTAGTCGTCATTGACAATCGCCGCCATCCTCAATCAATCACCTTCCTCACTGGCACATTGACATCACCATCTCCATCGCCATCGCCGTCACCGCATGGGCCCCGTCAGTGGCATTGCTGGCAGCAGCGCCATCATGGCCACGACCATCACTACCGTCATCATCGTTGCAACCGTTGTCGACGTCATCATGTTATGGCGCACGCCAGAATGACTGACTCGCACTGAGGTGTCTGAGCGCCATCGCGGCCTCTTAGACGCGCCTGGAAGTTCTCGTCGGAAAGCACCATCGCGGCCGCAGCAACTGTCCCAATTCAGCTGGCCGCTCTGCGCGGGAGCTTGCGCGCGCCAGCGCGGTCGCAGATGCCAATTCAGCTGGCCGCTCTGCGCGGGAGCTTGCGCGCGCCAGCGCGGTCGCAGGGATGCACCCAGCCAGTGCCCATCTCCACAGGCAGTCGTAGCCGAATTGGGGTTTCCAAACAAGTTGCAGACGGGAGGGTGGGATGATTTGCGCGAGCAGTGGAGTTGGCAATTTCAAGGTTTCCTCCGTTAATTGCCACCCATTGGGTGTAGCCGAAGAGGCTGTACCCCGTACAGTCGTGGCCGATTGGAGAGGACACGCGAGAGGAAACGAGAAACGTCCGACGGCCACATTGCCATATGAATGTAGAAGGCACGGGTCGCGAAACTCGGGGCAACATGGCACCGGGGAGTCAACAAGACCAGCCTGCCCATCAACCCCGAGTGTACTCCGGGTTCTCTGATATGCGGCAGGGCGGCGGCACCGCCCCCGCTGGCAGCCCCACGCCGACCCCCGCCGCCGACAACGGCCGCGCGCCAGAGGCGTCCCAACACTCGGCACGGTGCGCCGATGCAGAAGAGGTTGATCCCCGTCGGGGTGTGGGGGGGGGCATACTTTCTTCCCCGACCACCCTGTGGTGTCTGGTCCTCGTTCTGAAAAAGACAGCGCCCCGCGTTCCGTCCTCCTTCCCGCTGCCCCCCCCTCCCCTCCTCCCCCTCCATACACCCTGCGAAATGCTTTAGAAACCATGGGTTCAGAAATCCATAGTCTCAGAACTTGAGTAAAAGCCCCAACTTCCCATTCGAATCTTAGGACTCACATCGAAACATCAAGAACAGTCGAGACCCTGGCCGAAAATGCAAGGTTTCTTGAACATCGCCCAAGGAGTACTCGTGCTGTCCGCATCAATCTACAATTCCGGCAAACCCTAGGGCTCCCAACTTCGCGCTTCGCGCTCCGCGAAGCGCGAAGCGCGAATAACTTCGCGCTCTCGCGCCGCCCCCCCAAAGGGACAAAAGGAGGACGAGGAGGAGGGGGAGAAGGAACGAGGACCGCGAAGCGCGAAGCGCGAATAACTTCGCGCCCTCGAGGGAGCCCTTAAGTACTTGTGCTGTCCGCATCAATCTACAATTCCGGCAGACCCCTCACGCGTTGCTGCGTCGCCCCGGGGGCTGACTCCACCTCGGGCCCCACAGCGTGGTGTTCGCACGCGTCCCAGCCACCCATATTCCAGCAAAACCACTCACAAGTGTTTCGTGGCCCCCACGAGGAGCCCCACCCAAGACCCCAATGGTGCCGTCTCCTCCTCCTCCTCCTCCTCCTCCTCCTCCTCCTCCTCCTCCTCCTCCTCCTCCTCCTCCTCACACGCTTCGTGGCCCCATGGGGAGCCCCAGCTGAGGCCCCAATACTGCCGTGGACGTGCGTCCCCGCAACCCACTTCCGCACACCCCTCACGCGCTTCGTGGCCCGATGGGGACCTCATCATAAGGCCCCGATGGTGCCGTTCGCACGCCTCCCCGCTACCAATTTCGGCACACCCCTCAAATTGTCCGTAGTCCCATGGGGTCCTCCACCGAAGGCCCCAAATGTGTCGTTCGCATGCCTCCCCGCCACCCATGTCCCACGTCGGCACGCACACACACACACACACACACACACAACGTCTCGTGGCACCCATGAGGAGCCCCATATGTGGCCCCAATGGTGCCGTCCGCATGCGCCCCCGCCGCCCACGTCAACACACGCGTTTCATGGCCGCCATAAAGGGGCTCCACCGCCCAACGACGCCGTTCGCATGCGCCTCCGCCACACATTCCGGCACACCCCTCACACGTTTCGTGGCCCCACAGGGAACCTCCACCTCAAGCCCCAGCGGTGCCGTTAGCTTGCATACCCGCAACCATTGTCGGCACATCCCCCACACGCTTCGTGGTTCCCGTATGGAGCCCCACCTGATGCCCTAGTGGTGCCGTTCGCACGCGTCCCCGCCATCCGTTTCTCGGCACAAACACACACACACACACACACACACACACACACACACACACACACACACACACACTTTTTGCGTCGGCGGCGAGGCGGAGGCGGTCCGCTCCAGCGTGTAGCGATTCGGGGCAACCGAATGGCAAATTGGCAGGCATGCAAGAGAGGGAAAAGGAGACAGACAGGGCGGCCGCGGAGGACAGGGGGAGGCGGAGGGCACTCAGACGTGGAAGAGGCCAGCAGCAGCAGCGGGGGCCGTGGCAGCAGCCTGGCCGCGGCGTCGGTGCATCCACGGGCGCTGCCGATGCTCAGTACGCGATAGAGCACACACACACACACACACACACACACGCACACACACACACACACCTCACACGCTTCGTGGCCACACAAGGAGGGAGCTCCACCTACGGCCCCAATGATGCCGTTCACATGCGCCCCCGCCACATATTTCGGCACGCCCCTCACACGTTTTGTGGACGAGATAGGGAGCTCCGCGTACGGCCCCAGCGGTGCCGTTCGCACGCGTCCCCGCCACTCATTCTGGTACACCCCTCGCACGTTTCGTGGCCCCCATAGGGAGCTCCAACTACGGCCCCAGTGGTGCCGTTCGCATGCGTCCCCGCCACGCATTCCGGCACACCCCTCGCACGTTTCGTCGCCCTAGAGGGAGTGCCTCCCAAGGCCCCAGTGGTACCGTTCGCATGCGTCCCGCCACCAATTCCAGCACACCCCTCACACGCTTCGTGGTCCCATTGGGAGCTCCAGCCAAGGCCCGGGTGGTGCCGTTCGCATGCCTCCCCGCCACCCATTTCGGCAAACCCCTCACACGTTTCGTGGCCCCATGGGGACGTCCGCCTATGGCCCCAGTGGCCGCGTCCGCATGCGTGCCCCCCACCCAGTACACCGCTTCGTTGCCCCATAGGGAGCTCCACCGAAGGCCCCAGTGGCCGCGGCCGCACGGGCACCTCCAGCCCAGCACAACGATTCGTGGCCCCATAGGCAGCACCACCGAAGACCCCAGTGTCCGCGGCCGCACGCGTCTCCCCCCACCCATATGACACCGATCACGCAATTCGTGGCCCCATACGCAGCTGCACAGAAAGCGGTACTTACAACAACGTAGCACTCACACCTGCACATTGTTGGGTCATTCGCTCAACAAAATATTCGCTTGATCGGCGGGCACTTGCGGGGCGGGTACCGGTCAAACATCGGGAGGAGCGCTCCGGAAACGAGGAGTTGCGGCACAGCAAAAGCCAGGCACAGGAGAGGCGGAAAAGAAAGGATCGCCCCCACACACACACACACACACACACACACACACACACACACACACACACACGCTTGTCACGAAACGCGGCAGAGGTTGGCCCTCCCAATGAAGCTGCAACCGATGGATTTTCCATGGCCACTGTTTGGGACGCGTCAGCAGTTTGATTTACTTTGTCCCGAGAAATCGTCAAACAACAAGACTGCAAAACTTAGCGCACGATTGGAGCCGCGATCAGCAGGCTCGAGGCGGGACGCGTCGGGGATCATCAAATGGAACCTGCTGGCCCCGTAAGGTTGGAGGCCCACGAGACCCTCCATACCGCCACGTATCCGCGTGATACTGGGAAAGAACGGACAGGGGCATCTCCTCAACATGAATGTGAAGGATCGAGGAAAGATCGACAAAATATCAACGGCTGATCGATAAAGTGTTGCTCGGTAAAAGACGAGACGAGCCTCGAAAGGGTTCCAATGAGGCCCCAGGACACCCATCAGGGACTTGTCTTGTGAACTCAGATCATCCCGACCCCGTGGGACCATTTACAAGGAATATGCCGGACGGCGCCAGTCTTCAACGCAAAGCCCAAAAATGGCCATATCACTTCAAAAGTCCTCACAAAATCGGCCTCTGGACACCACTCAGAAGGTCCTGAAGTGAGCGGGAGAAGAAAGGAGTGGTGGAGAATGGGAATGGGGCAAGGAAGAAACGGGATGAAAAAAGAGGGTGGGAGGTGAGGAGGGGGGTGGGAGCGGGGAGGGCGGTCCCTGAAGGGCGCGAAGCAGAACAGGGCCTGCTGGGCGAGACCCCTAGGTGGAGGTAGAGGTGGAGGTGGAGGCGAAGGCCCAGGTGGGAATGGGTAGGAAAGTGGCGCCAATGGTCCGCTAACCGACTCAGGCCCAGCCCATCCACGGGAACCAAAAATACCGCTACTCTCCAGACCTTTCCCCACGCTGGCGCCAGAGCCGAAGACCGGCCGAACCGACAGCGGAACCGAACCCGGCCGAGCCCGATGGACCGAAAGCAGTCTATAGAGAGGGGCGCAGCAGCGCCGCAGCCGCCCGAGCCGAACAGACCGAGCGCAGCCGACTGCGGAGCCATCGGACCGACCGGACCGCGACACAGCCCCGTGGCTCCTTGTCGCGCTGGACGCGGGGCGGGCGCAGGTGGCGGCACTCCACGACCACCACCTCCAGGGCCGCGGGGGGCGAGGAGGGAGGAGGGAGGAGGGAGGAGGGAGGAGGGAGGAGGGAGGAGGGAGGAGGGAGGAGGGAGGAGGGAGGAGGGAGGAGGAGGAGGGAGGAGGGAGGAGGGAGGAGGGAGGGAGTGCCGTCGAGACACGGCGACGAGAACGTGGGTCGACAGGAGGAGCCCTTCGTCGGTGGCCCCAGGCCAGCTGGTTATACCCAAAGCGAGGAGCGCTCGAAGGGTGCCCCTCCAGAGGTAGGGTTGTTGCCACCCCTCGCGCCAGCTTCACTCCGCAGGGAGGAAAGGCGATGAGAGGGAAGAGAGGAAGAGGCGGGGAGGCAGCTCGATCAGAGAAAGAAGCACGCGGCAAGGATAGGGGAGTACGGAGCGAACGAGGCGAGAGCAAGCACGAAGACAACAACCCACCACCATCACCAGATACCTGAGAGAAACAAGTGCGCGGCAAGGATGGCGAGGTGGGAAAGAATGAGGAGATGGTGGGCATGAGGAAGAAGACCCACAACCACCACCACCACCAGATCCCATAGAAAAAGAAGCGCACGGAGAGGATGAAGAGGAGTGAGCGAAAGAGGAGAAGGCAAGCACCAGATCCCCTAGAGAAAGAGGCGCGCGGCAAGGAAATGGAGGAGGGAGCACAAGAGGCGCCCAACACGCGCCCAAGAGCCCTCCAAGAGGCCCAAAAGATACCCCAGGAGGCCCCAAGAGGCCCCTAAGAGGCGCCCAAACCGCCTCCTAGAGGCCCCCGAGAGGCCCCCCACGACACCTCAACACATATATAAGAGGCCTCAAACTCACAACCCAGGCACGGTGGCGGGATGGGCCGAAGGCCACTAGGATCCGCCGCCCCCTGTCGACTCATCGCAGGGGTGCTTGGCGTGCCAGATTTCTTAGGTTTTGGTTTTGGCTCTTTTTCCAAAAGAACTCCCCCTGGGGCTTCGGCCCGTTCCGCCGGCCACCCGGAAACTGCATCAGTCAATGCCTGAAACGGCCGTTTCGCTCGGGACATCCTCAATAAATCGCGAAGATGGCCCAAGATGGCCTCCAAGTCCGCCCAAGATGGTCCAAGACGGCCTCCAAGACGGCCCAAGAGAGTCCAAGACGGCCCAAGAGGCCCCCCAGAGGCCTCCCAGACGGCCCAAGAGGCCTCCAAGAGGTCCTCCAGGAAGGCCCGAAGAGGCCGAAATCTTTGATTTGTCCTAAGTGTTTGAACGATTTTGGAATTTGCCTCGTCTCGGCATTCCGACGGCTCAAGACGGCCCAAGAGGCCCCCAAGATCGCCCAAGAGGCTCCCAAGAGGGCCCCATGACGGCCCAAGTGGCCTCCAAGACGGCTCCAAGAGGGCCCCAAGATGGCCCAAGAGGCCTTCAACACGCCAAAGATGGCCTCCAAGACGCCCAAGATGGCCTCCAAGACGGCCCCGAGGTGACCCAAGAGGGCTCCCAGTCGGCCTGGAAAGGCCCCCAAGACGGCTCCCGACGGCGTCAGACGTGCCAGGAACCCACCAAGATGGCCGAAGTTGGCTCGAAGCTGGAGGGCCTCCAGAAGGCCAGAAGAGGCCAAAAACCTTGAGTTCCCCAAAGTTTTTGACGGATTTCGACATGTCCTTCTTTTCGGCCTTTCGACGGCCCGAGGCGGCCCAAGAGCCCCCACAGATCGCCGAAAGATCGCCCAAGAGACCTCCAAGATGGCCCCAGAACGGCCCAAGAGGGCCCCAAGACGGCCCCAAGAGGCCCCCAAGACGGCACAGGAGGCATTTAAGACGCCCAAGATGCTCTCCAAGACGGCCCTGGAGCATTCCAAGAGGGCCCCAAGTCGGCCCATAGAGGCCCCCCAAACGGCTTCCGACGGCGTCAGACGGACCAGGAGCCCACCAAGACGGCCGAACATGGCCCTAAGATGGCCCAAGACGGCCCAAGAGGCCTCCAAGAGGGTCTCCAGAAGGCCCGAAAAGGCCAAAATCATTGATTTCCCAGTGGTTTTTGAAGGATTGTGGCATTTGTTTGTTTTTTGTTCTGCCTTCCGACGGCCCGAGACGGCCCAAGTGCCCCCAAAGATCGCCCAAGAGGCCCAAGACACGGCCCAAAGAGGCCCCCAAGACGGCCCAAGAGGTCTCCAAGACGCTCAAGATGGCCTCCAAGACGGTCCAAGAGCCCTCCAAGACGTCCTCCAAGAAGGCCCGAAAGGGTCAAAGTGGCCTCCAGACGGCCAAGATGACCTTCAAGATGCCCACGTGTTCCCCGAAGGCTTTCCAAACCGATTCGGGGAACACATGCTCCGATAGCTTGGCAGGTCTGGCCTCAACGTTCGGCCACATAGGCGCTTCCACAAAGGCAGGGGGCGGCGGTGATTCGCCGTAGGCGTCTTCGATCCGCCGCCCCCTTTTGCTTTAGCAAAGGGGTGCCTGGCGTGCCAAATTATATGGGCTTTGGTTTTGGTTCTTATTCCAAAAGAACTCCCCCTGGGGCTTCGGCCCGTCCCGTCGGCCACCCGGAAAATCCCCAAAACGCATCGGTCGTGCCTCCGTCGTCGCCAAAAACGGCCGCTTCGCTCAGGACATCCTAAAAGTCGCGAAGATGGCCCAAGATGGTCCCCAAATCCGCCCAAGATGGTCCAAGACGGCCTCCAAGACGGCCCAAGAGAGTCCAAGACGGCCCAAGACTGCCCAAGAGGCCCCCCAGAGGCCTCCCAGACGGCCCAAGAGGCCTCCAAGAGGTCCTCCAGGATGGCCCGAAGATGCCAAAATCACTGATTCTCCTTAGGTTGTTGAACGATTTTGGAATTTGCTTCTTCTCGGCATTCCGACGGCTCAAGACGGCCCAAGAGGCCCCCAAGATCGCCCAAGAGGCCCCCAAGAGGGCCCCATGACGGCCCAAGTGGCCTCCAAGACGGCCCCAAGAGGGCCCCAAGACGGCCCAAGAGGCCTCCAACACGCCCAAAGTGGCCTCCAAGACGCGCAAGATGGCCTCCAAGACGGCCCCGAAGCGCCCCAAGAGGGCCCCCAGTCGGCCCAGAAAGGCCACCAAGACGGCTCCCAACGGCGTCAGGCGTGCCAGAAACCCACCAAGATGACCGAAGTTGGCTCGAAGAGGGCATCCAGGAAGGCCAGAAGAGGCCAAAAACCTTGAGTGTCCCAAAGTTTTTGACGGATTCCGACATGTCCTTCTTTTCGGCCTTCCAACGGCCTGAGACGGCCCAAGAGCCCCCAAAGATCGCCGAAAGATCGCCCAAGAGACCTCCAAGATGGCCCCAGAACGGCCCAAGAGGGCCCCAAGACGGCCCCAAGAGGCCCCCAAGACGGCACAGGAGGCCTTTAAGACGCCCAAGATGGCCTCCAAGATGACCCTGGAGCATTCCAAGAGGGCCCCAAATCGGCCCATAGAGGCCCCCCAAACGGCTTCCGACGGCGTCAGACGGACCAGGAGCCCACCAAGACGGCCGAACATGGCCCTAAGATGGCCCAAGACGACCCAAGAGGCCTCCAAGAGGTTCTCCAGGAAGGCCCGAAAAGGCCAAAATCATTCATTTCCAATGGGCTTTTGAAGGATTGTGGCATTTGCTTTGTTTCTGCCTTCCGACGGCCCGAGACGGCCCAAGTGCCCCCAAAGATCGCCCAAGAGGCCCAAGACACGGCCCAAAGAGGCCCCCAAGACGGCCCAAGAGGTCTCCAAGACGCTCAAGATGGCCTCCAAGACGGTCCAAGAGCCCTCCAAGACGTCCTACAAGAAGGCCCGAAAGGGTCAAAATGGCCTCCAGACGGCCAAGATGACCTTCAAGATGCCCACGTGTTCCCCAAAGGCTTTCCAAACCGACTCGGGGAACACATGGTCCGATAGCTTGGCAGGTCTGGCCTCAACGTTCGGCCACATAGGCGCTTCCAACAAGGCAGGGGGCGGCAATGGTTCGCCGTAGGCGTCTTCGATCCGCCGCCCCCTTTTGCTTTAGCAAACGGGTGCCTAGCGTGCCAAATTATATGGTTTTGGTTGTGGTTCTTATTTCAAAAGAACTCCCCCTGGGGCTTCGGCCCGTCCCGCCGGCCACCCGGAAACTGCACAAGTCAATGCCAAAACCCAAGACGCCCAAGACGGCCCAAGACGGCCCAAGAGGCCCCCCAGAGGCCTCTAAGACGGCCCAAGAGGCCTCCAAGAGGTCCTCCAGGAGGGCCCGAAGAGGCCAAAATCATTGATTCTCCTTAGGTTGTTGAACGAGTTTGGAATTTGCTTCTTCTCGGCATTCCGACGGCTCAAGACGGCCCAAGAGGTCCCGAAGATCGCCCAAGAGGCCCCCAAGAGGGCCCCATGACGGCCAAAGTGGCCTCCAAGACGCGCAAGATGGCCTCCAAGACGGCCCCGAAGCGCCCCAAGAGGGCCCCCAGTCGGCCCATAAAGACCCCCCAAACGGCTCCCGACGGCGTCAGACGTGCCAGGAACCCACCAAGATGGCCGAAATTGGCTCGAAGCTGGCCCAAGACGGCCCAAGAGGCCCCCAAGAGGGACTCCAGGAATGCCAGGGGAGGCCAAAAACTTTGATGGTCCTAAGGTTTTTGACGGAGTTGACATTTCCTTCTTCTCGGCCTTCCAACGGCCCGAGACGGCCCAAGAGCCCCCAAAGATCGCCGAAAGATCGCCCAAGTGGCCTCCAAGATGGCCCCAGAACGGCCCAAGAGGGCCCCAAGACGCAAGAGGCCCCCAAGACGGTACAGGAGGCCTTTAAGACGCCCAAGATGGCCTCCAAGATGACCCTGGAGCATTCCAAGAGGGCCCCAAGTCGGCCCATAGAGGCCCCCCAAACGGCTTCCGACGGCGTCAGACGGACCAGGAGCCCACCAAGACGGCCGCACATGGCCCTAAAATTGCCCAAGACGGCCCAAGAGGCCTCCAAGAGGGTCTCCAGGAAGGCCCGAAAAGGCCAAAATCATTGATTTCCCATTGGTTTTTGAAGGATTGTGGCATTTGCGTTTTGTCTGCCTTCCGACGGCCCGAGA